CTTGGAAATCTGTTGCTTAGAACTAATAGTGTAACTGCATTTTTATATGTTATTTTAACCTGTTTTAACTGATGTAAGCCGCCCCGAGTAGACGTTGTCTAGAGGGGTGGGGTAAAAATCGAATAAATAAATAAATAATAAATTAATTAATTAAAAATTAATAAATAAACTTCCCCTATTGCTGGAAATCAATGTTGTGCGAAGACAAGGCACCCTTGGCTTCAGGCTGTCTTGTTCTCTGAGCCTGCCAGGGATTTTTGCGGTAGAGATATCTTGTCACCCAGACCTTGGACGTTCACTCTGGTTGCATCATGGCTTGACAGCTACTTTGTTTTAATTTGCAGCTGAAGCAATACACATGGGGAGTCTTATCGCAGCCCAGGGATATATTTTCCCAATCTCAGATCATGTACTGACTTTGAAGGATGATGGGACCTTCTATCGTTTTCAGGTAGGAAATCTGTCATTTTTACTCGGATTAAAGAACATTAAAGGGCTCTTGCTTAACTAGAGAAACAAGTCTAGAATAAAGTCATCCTGCCATACAGCCACCTTCTTCTGAAGGTAGGCAGAGCTGTGTTATTATTTAGCACCAGCACAGAGGTTTTTAGCTCTTATTATAATCAAAATTTGAAGGTATTACTTTTTGGACTTTGAACTCCCAAAATTGTCCCTGTCCGAATGTCTCATTCTGGGAGTTGTGTTCCAAAAAAGTAGCATTTCTAAGCTCTAATGCAACCGAGCATTTTAAAAATATGGTGGTGAGTTTGGCATTCTCTCAATAATACCAGTGGAGCATTTTTTAAAAAGAATTAAATTCTGATTGAGTATCCTTTTAGGTTATGTAGATTCAGATCATAATCCTGTAAAATAGTAAAAGGTAAAAATAGAAAAAGCATAGAAATTAGCCAACTATGGCCAGGATCCCATTGGATTTTTATGCACGGGGAAGAGGAATTGCAGAAGCTGTTGTGGCAAATTGCCACTAAATGACGTAGCACTAGACAATCGGCCAACATACACCTGGTACATGCCTGGTCCCTTGTGAGTTTTGGTGTGCTGGCTTCCATAGATCCTCTTCTGTGCATATAAAAACCCAACATTAGTCCAGCTTAAGTGATCCGACTATATAGACAATTGGTCAAGAATGGGATTCATGAAGGCATCAACAACATTGGAAGCTGCCTAGAGTGGTCGTTCGACTAGGTAGGCAGGGTATAAATACAATAAATCAATCAATTAAATAAATTAAACAAACAAACATTGCATACTCAGGTAACTCAGATATAAATGCTGCTTGCTCTTGTGATGCCCAGCAATCTCCAAAGTAGAATCAAGAGAGAGAGAGAGAGAGAGAGAGACAGAGAGAGAGAGAGAGAGAACTGGATGGAAGAAGAAATATCAGAACTAACAGTAGAGAGACAGTGTAAAAATAAATAAATAAAAGGATGACCTTAAATACAGAGATTTATATAGGAATGTACTAAACAAAATTGATTCCAGTGATGGTGCCATTGTTAGTGGAGATGTTATCAATATCTGAACAATACAGTATTACTGGCTGACAGTTTCATCTTTTATTGTTTAAGCTATCATGAGAATGACCAACTACAAATATAAACACACATTCAAACCATGAAAAATGATTAAAAACTGAAAGACTCTCTATCCCACCCCCATTTCTGTTAAAAGATAAATCAAACTGCATTTTTACAGTGATGGTAAAGTTAAAGGTTCCCCTTGACATTTAGTCCAGTCATGTCCGACGCTAGGGCTCGGTGCTCATCCCTGTCTCCAAGCCATAGATCCAGTGTTTGTCCGAAGACACTTTCCGTGGTCATGTGGCCAGAGCGACTAGACATGGAATGCCGTTACCTTCCCATCGTGGTGGTACCTATTTATCTACTCACATTATTACATGCTTTTCAACTGCTAGGTTGGCAGGAGCTGGGACAAGCGACGGGAGCTCACTTCATTACGTGGATTCGATCTTATGACTGCTTGTCTTCCGACCTTGCAGCACAGAGGGTTCTGTGGTTTAACCTGCAGTGCCACCACATCCCCTACATCTTTACAGTAGGAGATAACAATAAGGAGATGAAGTAAAAAGCTAAAAATCCAGTGAATGCATTTACTACATGAGACCTATTAATTTAGATCACCAGGTTAGCCTGACAAAAGTTTCTCCTCAGCTTCTGGGCAGCTATTGCGAATGTCACAACTCTGCCTTTCATATATTTGTCAAGATCACACAGTAAATGTTTAATCTTGTCTTGGTTGTCACCATCAGTTCTGTCTCTCACCTGACTGAAAATAAATTATGCCCCCTAGGTTCTGAATACAAGGAGCAGGGCAATAGATAATAGTACAGTACCAGAGCTCTACTACTATTTGGACCCCGCTTATACAAAAGACACTGTTTTAATGTACTTTGAAGTAAAGTTCCTCTAAGTCTTGTGAAGGCAAAATCTGAAATTGCAGTCCAGAAATGCCTTTCTAAGTAAAGGAACTGTCAGTTCATTTGGGAAATTTAAAAATCCTTGAATTAATTTTAGAAATCATAACTGTGGGGAAAAGCAATGATTTCTGGATTGTCTCTAAATCCTATTGGGAATAAAACCCCCACACCTTTATTCTTTGTATACTTATAAATCTGACCTGGGGTCCTCTCCTCAGGAATCTGAGATGAGCGACCAAGAGCTGACATTGGTTGAAATGTGTTTTCCATAGATGTTGGCGAAGGTTACACAGTTGTCAGGTCAGGGATTTTGGCTCCTGGACCTCTGTCTCCCCAAAAGCCCTACAGAATTGTATAGACCTCTAGGGAAAAACCAGAAGCCTGTGTTTGTCACAGCTGCTACTTGTCCCAGTTAAGGGTTAATTCTACAATGAAATCGGACAATCATTTCTAATCTTACCTGAGTATCATGGTATAAATCTTTTCACTGTTGCAAGAATTCCAGGCAACATCAACTTGTCTAATTCTGCAAGCTTTATTTATCTACATTGCTTCTGTATTCCATAAGTAACAAGTCTTACAATTGTGAAAAGTTTCAAATAAGACATAATCCAAAAAACCAAACTTAAGTTGTAGCCAGAAATGAAGTCATATTTGAATCCAGAAATAAAAGAGCATAAGTCCAGCCTCCAAGAGAACAGAAGTAATTACTAACAGAAGAAATCTTTCTCTAAGTGGAGATGCTGGGGTTGTTAGATCTTGGAAGTTCCACATCCAAAGAAATGTGTTCTACTACAGAGCTGATCAGCATCATGCGTAACTCTTCTTCTTACCCTTTCTACCCAACAACTCCACTCCCACACTCAGGGGACAATTGTAAAATCTGATAGGGCAACATGTGGTTCTTTTTTCCTTTGCCCCAGACTCCAGTTTTCTCTGTATGGACAATATGTTACAGTATAATACAATACAGTGGTGCCTCGCATAGCGAGGTTAATCCATTCCGGATTAACCTTTGCTATAGCGAAACATCACTGTGCGGAAATAAAAAAGCCATAGAAACGCATTGAACTTCGTTCAATGCCTTCCTATGGCTTGAAAACTCACCACTGTGCGAGGTTCTTCCATAGCGCCGCCATTTTCACGCCTCGGTAAGCAAGGGCAGGGCGCGAAAATGCGGCGCGGACCTTCCGGCGGCCATTTTGGAACCGCCGATCAGCTGTTCTCCCCCACTTCGTTATGCGATATTCGCTAAGCGAATCGCTTAGTGAATATCGCAAAGCGAAAAATCGACGTAGGGGCCATCGCTGAGCAAATGCTCCAGCGATGACCCAGAGCGCCTCATTAAGCGATTTCATCGCTCAGCGAGGCGCTCGTTAAGCGAGGCACCACTGTACAATACAATATATTACGGTACAATAATTCAGACCATTCCATTTAGTCCTGATTCAATGTGATTTGTGCTTTTGGGTGTGGTGGTGTACTGTATATGTGTTTTTATACTGAAACAAGGGACTGCTGCTCTGAGCACAACTGGTCACTGAAATTCCATTTATTTCATTATAAATTTTGGGCCATCACTATAGCATTATTCCTTTGGGTGTGTGCACTATAACACCATGTCTTCCCCTTTGAGAGTTGATTGGTGCCAACACTGGCCTCCTTTTCAGCCAACACTGGTCTGAATTATTGTACCATAAGGTGTTTTTTTTTACCAAAACCTTTGGAGCCTAGGGATGGTGCCCAGTCTTGGGAGCATGAGGTTGTACACCCAGTGCCAACTGTTTGAAATTGTTCTAAATTGATTTGATGCACCAACCTCAATCTGGGTTATTTTGATACAGGATGAGATATGAACAAACAAGCAAGCAATGTTAAAACACAATTTACTGTTTTTCAGGCTCCATATTTTTGGCCTTCAAATTGTTGGGAACCGGAAAACACAGATTATGGTAGGCACTTTGGCTTGTGGCATTTTACAGGATCTTTTTAAATGTGTCTCCAGTTGTCTTGTCCAAAAATAAATGATTTCTTATTTCTAATCTGAAGATGGCATCACTATTCATTGTATAATGTTTTACGTTACCGCATTACATCACACATCACATGCATGTGACTGCCTTCAGTTTTGGTAGTAACAAAATTGTCTCAAAGCAATAGCACAATGTGCAGAATTGGTAATTATGAGACAAGATAAACATTTCCTGCTGAGTTCTAATCCATAGAGTGATGGATTTGAACTCAGGACTCCTGGGTCAAGTTCCCAAGTTCTGCCATGGAAACTCACTCGGGGGGTGGAACGAGTGAAACTGCAGCTTAAATAGCTCATTTATCTTAAAAGCCCTGTTAGGATTGCTATAAGTTGGTTCTGTTCTGATGGCATATAACGTAACAAAATTATTACACTGGATTAAATTGAAATCAAACCTAGAAATCAATAAAACCTTGATTTGCTGGATTTAGTCCATGAACTCCCATTGTTCTAAAATTTGCCAGTGCAGTGATGACTCCCTCCAAAGAGATCACATCTATTTTTGTTCTTGGTTTCACATGGTATAATAATGAAGCTATATTTGAACTGGACATGATATGTGAGTGAAGGCGCCTGTGTCTGTATTGACATTTGACATCAGCTCTAAACATTGTAATTCCATGTTTATCATTGGATGTTGCCTTGCCAAGCTGGCACTCATACTTGCTAGGGATAAATGCTTTATTAAACTTGATTGAATTGTGTCATCTGCATATAGAGTCGGGCAGTTTCTCTGGATCATCCCACAGCGGAATAAATGTGTAGACAAAGGAGTGAGCTCACACATATTTAGCAGCCTTGTTTGGGTGTTATGGTATGTAGGAATATCAGTACAGTTAGAGAGGAGTGCATACTTTCAGCCCCTTTCAATGTTGCTTTCTCCAGGTGCACAGAAGCAACTTTAAAGAAAAGTGCCTACTTGAAGTCGGTTCTGTACATCAGGAAGTACTCAGATCTTCCAGAGTTCCTGCACACATTTCAGTTCTGTCCTTTTGAGAATCATTGTCAATTACACAAAGAATGGGGTGGTGGGAATGCCACAGACTTCCATCTAGCTGTGTTGAGAGTGCTAGATACCATAACCTCTGAATGAGACTAGCATTGCCATGTCACAGAGGACCAGAGGAAGTAAGGCAGATTTGCTAAACTTTCTTGGGTCTCCAGGCAGGAAAACAACTCTCTGGGCAAGCAGCATTGGTAGAGAAGAAAATCTGGGTTTGGCTTGGCTTGGTTTGAAGAGGTGACTTAAAACGTATGAATCCATTTCCATTCATTCCTAGCTAGTGTCAGGGGGTCACAGTTTCAGTGTGAAGATACTTGTACTGTATGTGTCTTGCACTTGTGCACCATTGATGCATCACAAAGCTGGAACTGAGAGGCTATGCCATTGGGAAAAGCTGGTTGATACATGTCGTTGGACCCATTGTGCAATTTGAAACAAGGCAAGGAATGGAGCCCCAGCTTCATAGTTTTTGAATTTTCTGTACACAGGTCCTGGTGGCAGTTGGCAGGGCCTGGAAAAAAAACTTCATCTGGAATGGTGGTGAGCCTTCTGCAAGCCACAGCAGCAGCAGCGTAAAGCCAGGAAAAAACTAGCTAATGTGATATGTGGTAGAGCTGTAAACAGAACTGTAAGGAAAAATTAGCCCTAGCAGGGTTTGCTGCAAGCAAGCATTGCAGCTGATGGATACATTTTCTTGCCTGGCCAACCACTGGCCACTCGTGGGTGCCATATTACCTAATGAGCCAGGTTTTGCCTAGATTTTGGACCCATTTGCCTCAATTCCTGTTTACCCCATTTCCACAGTCAGAAATAGTTCTGGTCCCCTCCGAAACGCTGATATCCTAGCAGTCCACCCATCCAACATTAGAAGGCTAGAGGGTCTCTGGTTTTGCCTTGGAATCTCAGGGAATGAGATGCTGTTGACCAGGGTCCCTTTCAACTCCTGCCTTTGTACACTAATCTCAAGCTCAGAGCCGGTTCTAAAATCATATGATCTGCTCACATATTGGTAAGCTCTGTTCGTGCAGTCAGAAATCCTCTGATATTCTGGCCCTCCATCTTAACACATAGAGCTTAAATCACACAGAAAGCCTCCACTCAAAAATTTTAGATACAGTGGTGCCCCGCATGACGACGATAATCCGTCCTGTGAAAATCGCTGTTTAGCAAAATCGTCGTCATGCGAAAACCCTTTCCCCATTGGAATGAATTGAAACTTGGTTTAATGCGTTCCAATGAGGAAAATACCTCATCGTCCAGCAAAGATTGCCCATAGGGAAGTCATTTTGCGAGCGCCGATCAGCTGTAAAAATGGCTGCCCTGCGAAGCATGGGCTTGGAAAACACAGGGCAGTCATTTTGCGAATCTGAAAAAAAATCGTCTTGCAAACAAACGGTTCGTGAAGCAGGGACCTAATCGACATCCAGCGAAAATCCCCCATTTGAATGACTGTTTCGTGAATCGCTATAGCGATCGCAAAAAGTCATCGTTATGCGGATTTGACGTTTAGCGGGGTACCACTGTATATAGGCGGGTGACTGGGCCTAGACACAACACTGTTCCTCCTTTTATGCTTTCATTTTGCATTGAACTACATAAAAAGGGCACAATTTTAATTCTTCTGTGAAAAAGTCTTTATGTCAACAGCATAATAATTGCAGCAGTGCAGTGCAGTCTAGAATCATTGAACAGAACAGTGTTTAGTCGACATGAATGTTAATATGGCAGTTAATTGAAATGCAATTCTGTTTATTTAAATTAATAGGTGTGAAAGTAGTCCTTGTATTTGAGAACTGAGTGATCTATCAAAGAGAATCATGTAAGAGCATTAATATTTGTGCAGTGGCCCGGCATGGATCTGTGGATGAATGGAGTCTGCTGTAAAATAAATGATGATATACTTTGTATACTAATGTATGCCTTGCTGATCAATAAACTGTTTTCTTTAGCAAGTAAGCATGAGGTCTTTGGGAATTGTTTATTTTTTTATTTAAAGCTAGATATGTAACTTGTCCCTACAAATACACATTTAACAAAAGAGGGAGGAGGAGTTTATACTAGAAAGTGCTGTCTGGCGCTTTGAAAGAAATAGCAGAGGTTTATGATATTTCATAGTAAATATCTGAACAGCCAAGTACCCATGCATAAAGGGAGTATGTCAGCACTGTTATCTTTAGCTGTCTCTTTGCATTATTGCTGTCCCTGCTACAGCTATACTTCTCTCTCGCTGAAATGATAAAATCAATTTTTTCATTCAACTCAGGCATTGGCAGAGGAAATGAATACACCTGTGCTTATAAAATGAAGGCTTTGGAAAGTGTTTCTTTTACAACCAGTTTATAACCAGCAACAGAAGTCTTCCCCCCCCCCACCAAATGCTCACCCCCCCCACACAAGTATCCCTGAGTACTGTGTGTGTAGTTAATGGTGGAATAGAAATATCGTAATTGTAGCTGTTACAGAATAGCAGTTGCTTCTTGTCCCTTATTTAACTATTATTAGTTTCACCATATCAATTTAAAAAACCACCTAGGATAATGATGTCCTAGCACTCTTTGCCTCATTTAGCAAATTATCTTTGTGCTCTTTATTTATTTAATTGGTGATGCATCCAGTTAAAAGTGTACACTTTCCATAGATTTTAATGGAAGATGTTTAAATTCGCTTAACAGAGAAATATTAGAACATCTTCATACTATACTACAGATCTATGCATGTCTACTTAAAAATACCATGAAATGTACTCTTAAGCAAGTGTATATAGGAATGAATATTAACTGCTTAGTTGTGGCTCGGTTGTGCCAATATTTTATTTTTCAAATATTATAAATTGCCATTTTTTCCACAAATACTCTACATGTTCTAAAATGCAACAACCACATAAATATATATAAACTTAATTACAGTAGGACCCCTGTATCCATTGGATCAGTATCTTAAGTTTCACTTATCCATGGTCTGAAAATATTAAAAATATTAAAGGAAAAAATCCTGAAAAACTATTTTCATATGTTTTACCAGAACATGCCAGTAGAGGGAGCCAGAGCTCATGCTATGAACACTTGTTTGTAAAGAATACATGGCATGGTCTCTGGCGCTCTCTAGTGGCCAGTTTAGGAAATGCATGTGAGAATTTTTTTGATGGGTTTTTCCCTTTTTCCTTAAATATAGTGTTTGCTATTACCCACAGTTTTCCATATCCGGGGGAGCTTGAAACCAATCTCCAGTGGTTGTGGGGGGGGAGGTCTACCAAATCAGGTATGGGGGTTACAACAATTACAATAAAATGCATCCATTAGCAGCCTGATTGGTGTAATATGTATCAGCCAGGCTGATACATATTACACCAACTGAAAACCTTAAACTCACACAGGAAACATTGCAGTAATAAAAACGCAATTTACGGTAACTAAGGCAAGGGAGACTTTTACCAAGTCATGTCTGCATAGCAAAGGTGACAATTGGCCCACTAGGGTGGAATAGGCAAAGACATTCTTTATCACTATTATCAGGTTGGGACTCCAGCAATAGGAGCGCTCCCAGTCTATGAACCTCATTGGTCAGCGGGAGCGAAACTCCTCCTTAAACAAGTTGAATCCCAGTTCCCAAATGTCACTAATCACCAGCATCTCTGTCTTATCTGGATTTAATTTTTATTTGTTCTTCACTCAGCACTTTATTGAGTTCAGGCAGATTTCAGGGGTATTGACTGTTCTCTCATGCTCGGTCACAGGAAACAAGGTGACCAGGAGCAGGAGAGCTGGCTGGCTTCTACCTGTTATTGAAACCACAGTCCAAAGCGTTGAATGATCTATCCCAGTAGCCAATATTTACTCAGGAGAAGCCCACACATTCAACTCTTTCTCCCATCTAATGTATTTTTATGTTTTCTTGTGCTATCTTCAGGATATTTTAAATCTGCTTTAACTATTTTAATCTGTTTAGTTACTAGGATTCCTGATGGACAGAGAAGTGATAAGCAAATGCTTTAATTAAAATAAAGGAATAAATATTATATTCATAGGAAGAAGTTGGTGCACTTGGAGATGGGCCAGTGCTTGGAAAATTTATCTTTTGGCTTACAGCTCCCAGAGTTAAAAGCTTGCAGGAAAATTCATTTTTACGTGCAGTTTTTCCCTATGTACACATTTGTAGCACTTTCCACTAATTTTTAAACAAAAGTCTCCACACCAACACTTTTGTTGATGTATGAATTTTGTGCACATTTTTTATTGAAGAATTGCATTGCAGAGTACAAAGAAGTGGAAAAGCAGAAAGAGAACTGTGTTCCATTTTCTGTTTTAACACAGGAATTGAAATTTAGGCTGGTTGGCATTAAAATGCAAACCAAACAAATTTTGCCCCATCCCTAATCTGTAGTGAATCTTCTCCATGCCCTCCCCCCCCATGATCATTTATTTATTTATTTATTTATTTACCTTATATGCCGCCCACTCTACCCAAAGGTCTCTCGGCGGCTTACAACAATTAAAATTCAATTAAAATACAATAAAAGATAAAATGATTAAAATACAATTAAAATTGCCATCAGGACCCACAGTTAATGTTATTTCAATTAAAAGCCTTCTGGAATTGTAGCAACTTACAGTATGGTTCTGCTGCTTTGGAAAATGCCTTCTGGGGAACTTGGATTAGTTGTTATGTCATCCCATACAAACAATGTGTATGCATGTTCTGTGCTGACTTATAGTGACCCTAATAGGGCTTTTAAGATATGTGAGATATTTAAGGAATGGTTTTACCCATTTCATTCCCCCAAGGAAGTTTCCGTGGCCGAGCAGGGAATGGAACCCTGTTCTCCAGAGTCCAGAGTGCTTTTTAACCTCAGTTTACATTCTTTTAAGTCTCATCCTCTTCTATCTCAGTAATAAATACATGATGTTGAGTTGGTTTTCTGTAGTATTTACCCCCTTTCCCCTCCTTGTTTTTTTCTCTTTAGCCATCTATCTCTGCAAGAGGACCATGCAAAACAAAGCTAGGCTGGAGTTGGCAGATTATGAAGCCGTAGGTATACGGATTTTACAGTTCCAGAGTATAATGTTAATGATACTTTTAAGCTGAGTATATTCAACTGTATCACCTTTCTTTATATATAGTAAACACAGCACAGGGTATGGCTTTTTTGTTCTTTGAGTTTTGAAAATTAGAACAGTATCATCATGGTTCGTGCTAAACAAAATAGGATGCACTACACTATCTTAGGGTAGACCATTTTAGAAGTCTTTGATCAACTGTGTTGCCCTCCAAAGTCAACAAAAGAACTGTGGTGTTGCAAAAGGGCTGCTATTATAATCCTTGGTTAGATTACAGAATTTTTGTAGTAATACCTGATGATAAACAGTGCTATAGGCAGCCAAAAGGTCAACAAATGCTACCCTATGACTTCTCTTGTTTCAATACGTTGCATATCCAATATGTTGGATTTGTGCTATACAGTTCTTTCCAAGCTTAAAGTCAGTGTGTTGTGGCATAAGGAGAGGTTCCACCTCTTCCATTAGACTTTAATGACATTCTTTCCAGGACTATTTAAAGTTGACAAGAGTAGTCAGATTTGCCAGATTTTAAGGGGGTCTATGGGTTCTTTACGAGATTTCAAAATAAGAGTCACTTGTGACATTCTCCAAATTTGCAGAGAATCATGAGAGGAGCAAGGCAATTATTAAAGAAAATAAGCAGCCACTTTTTTCTTACTGTGCCAGATTGGTTTATCGGTTCTATGCAGATGTCATCCAGGCCTGCTGCCCTGGCATTTTTCCAGCTACAAATAGCTTTTTCCAATTTACTTAAGCACCCTTGAGCAACCACTTCCTCAAAATGCCAAAAATGTTGATCATACAGCTTTCAGATTGTAGAACATCCTCTAAGAGAAATATTAAAAGAACCTGGTGCATATTATGATAGAAATTAACTTAAACTCAACCCTGTTTTTCTCAGATAAAACATGTGCTTTTCTCAGATGAATATTAGATCATTCCCCCTCCCCTTGTCAATAACTAGGTATAACTTAAGGTCATACACTGACCTATAATAAACATTGCCAAAATATAGAGCAAAAACTCTCCACAAGGAAGGGGAAAAAATCTTCAAATGCTAGTGGGAGTTAGTTGGGGTATATAGCCACAAACACTAAAAACATCATCATTGGCTCTATGCAGTTGGCTCTATCACAGTTGGATATGCCAGCCTAGCGTGATATAGTTCAGCCCATGCAAAACGGGTAGACACAGCACTCAATAAAACCTGTTGAATCATTACTGGATGCCTGAAGCCAGCTCTTATTGATAAAATCATTTATCTAGTAGGCACTGCACCCAGTGACATATGAAGAGAGGTAGTTGTTAATAACGGAAGACTCAAATCACCTACATCAAATGTACAATCACTCTTCAGCTACCATGTCACTCCTCCCTTAGATTAAAATCAAAGAAAAGTTTTTTCAGAACATCTGTAAATCTTGGAGAAATGTCAGAGAATGTCAGAACTATAATGTGGAACAAAGGAACTACCCACCTCTTAAAATGAATGGAAGCCCAAGAAGATCAAGACCCAGGTGCATGAAGAACTCAGTTCCTTGGAAATCACTTAAAAGGCAAAGGACTGGAGTTGACAGGACCCAAGTGAACCTAAGAAGATAGAGCTTTTGCACTGACAGTGTTCTATTTCACATCTGTGTCACTACTCAATGCCCCTCAACATGTAATATAGAATATTTGAACCTAACTGGTCAAAATGCTTTTCATGTTCCTTGTTATTGGCAACAATCAGTTATCTGATATATTTATTAATTGTACTTGGTGCTTCTGAAATGGACAAAGAAAAATCATGGTACATGATAAAGGCTGCTGTAACTCCCCTTTCAGCATAAGGCCCTACTAATAGATGGCATTTTTCTCAGAAACATGCAGATAATTAGTCAGTGTCAGAATATGTTGTAAAAGGCATAGCACGTGCAAAGAAAACTTTACTCCCCAACCCCATTTTAACTGATATTTGCTTCAAAAGAGCCTTGAATTCAGAGCAGATTCTGAGGCTAGGCTGCTTTGGGTAAATATCAGCTTTTCTTATAAGTGATCAGAACTGTTGTTTTTCTTTTGGTTTGGTTTTTGAAGGCACATAAATTTTGGGTGTATCTACAATGGCATTCTACAATTTGAATGATTCATTTGTGTGTGTGTGTGACTACTGGACATACAGTTAATTGCATGGAAACCAACAGTTTTTCTGGGATTGTACATTACATATTAAACAGTTGGCAGGGAGTTGTTTATTTTGTACTAATTCAGCTCACACTCTATTTTCACTTTTTATGCTCATCACTATTTCAGTCCAAAAATGGCAGTCACAGACATGTCTTAGAGTAACAGTGGCATCTTAAAACGGGGCACAGTATGCCATTACACAGTATAATCCCTTTCAAGTGAATGACTATTGTCTCTTCTAAACAGCTTTTTTTTGCCTATCAAATGTAGTGCTGTATCAGATTAGATCTGTGGTGTTGCCTCATTTTCTGGTCTGTTCCCCCCTCCTCTGGTCACTTCTTTCATTGGTCATATTACAAAGTTTACCTTTCCTTCTACAATGTTTACATTTCTACTTTTAATGGCACATCCCTTATCTCTGTGCTAGGCTGGTAAGTCTTTCAAATTAGTGCTATGTCAGTTCTGAAAAGGGAAAAGAAATAGTCCTAACTGCAGGGAAATGAATGTTATGGTTCTGCAGAAAAGCCAGGGAGGATGGGAAAGATGAGACTTTGACACTATTGAAAATGGTACCAATCAGGAAATGCACTGGGACTATTTGCAACAGAGCAGAAGAATCCAAGAACAGAAAGCACCAGGGACTGGGTTTAAAAACCTTCAAAGCAACCCCGTTCAACCTGGTGTTCCTCTTTTGTGTAGTCACACCCTTTCACATGATTTACCAGTGCCATGAAACAAGGCAGGCAGAACTGCTCAGCTGGGATGTGGTGTAATGAAAACAGTCTTTCACAATTGGCCCAATTTCTCCCACCACTAGAAGAGGGAAACTAAATGCCAGCATGATTCCCCCATCATATCACCCCTTTCTCATCAAATACTGGGAGCGTTGTAGTTGCTTCCTAAATCCCTAATTGAAGATTCCCTCAGACCCAAGTATTCAGGAAATATCCAGCTCTAGAGAGCTGTGCAGAGCACAGATAAGAGTTATACAGTAGTCCCAAACATCTGAAGGAAAGGCTGCATTAAAGACTCAAATAGCCAAACTGAGCTCTTTCTGTTTCTTCAATTCCCTGATGTAAGCCCAAGATGAAAGAAAGATCAAATTAAGTTTGACCTCAGTTCGCTTCCCCATTTTTCTCTTTCTCCTATTTGTTTATCTCATCACTGCACTCAGTCTTGATTCCAAATTAGTTACTCATGTCCAAGCATATAAATACCCATTCCAGTGCTTTTGTCAGCTTCCCAGATGCATCTGGCTGGTGATAGGTGGAAATAGGACACTGGGCTAGACAGACGTCTATGTGGCTCAAGCAGTTTTTTTCTTACGTTGGTCCTCAGTGAGAGAATTGTAAGTTCTTGCTAGGTTTATGGTACCAAATAACCTTGGTAGCTGGAGCAAGAATAATAACCGGCTCACTCTGCCATTCAAAGCTTTACACATATCACAGATGGAGAACATCTTAGACTCCAACTCCCATCTTCCCTCACCAGAGACTATTAACGTTAGAGTTAATGGGAGTTGTGGTCCCTCAACATCTGGAGGACCACCCCTTGTATTGTGTGTGTCCACATTGAATTCCTATGACAGAGGGCTTCCCCATTCACTTTCCTCAAGTCTGAAATGACAGTGGTGAAGAACCCACAGCTGCACACAGGAAGGCCATATAGAGGAAAACAGTCTAGCTATATAACCTCCTACAATGCTGAGAACTGCAAGCTCTTTCACTCGTTCAGCCCTTGTTAACTATGGCAGGAGATTGTTCTAGCATGACTATGTTTCACTAAGCAGAGGTACATCCAGTCTGTGACCTGTGCAGAACTGCCAGTTGACCCACCAGTCATGGTAAAGAAAAATATGGACACTCCACACTGCAGGTTTTCCAGTGTTTCCACTTCCACATTCATTAGCTATGCAGTTAGATAAATAAATCTTGATTTACTATCAGATAGCCATTTGGGTTGAGTAGAACAGGTTCTTTTTAAATCAGTCATGAAAATAGGTCATCAGCACCATCAATATGGAATAAAGGCATGGTATAAATGCCTTCTCTTCATGGTATAAATGCAGAATGCATGGCAGAAAATACACTACTCCAGGACTCACTGAAATTAGACATCACACAATGCCAGACAACTCAGTCATATTTCCTTTTCGCCAAGCACATGGCTCACAGGATCAGCAGTCCTGTCAGCAAGAGGAGTGTGTCAAATAACCTTAGTGAAGGCACCTTCTAGGTCTACAGATGCACCTTTTCAAAAGATGGATGACATTCCTGTAGCTTCAAACAAAACTCTGAACACATTGTTGTGGGAAGGTATGCTTCCATTTCTGCCTTTTCCTTCCTTACCTAAATCTCTCATTTTTCTGTGCAGCTTTTCACATTTTTTCGATTATCTCTGTGTGAGCTTATGTTATTTCTAAGATGGGAGATACATACAGCATGGTTGAGCAGATCTACCAGTAGATTCCTTGGGCAAGTTGTATTAGATCAGTATATGTTTCTGACTACCAGTTATTTAACCAGGGGCTGCAAACGTTCAAGTCACAAAATGGCTGATCTTATGCTAGTCATTTGTCTCCACATCTCTGTGTTTCTTGTGTTAATTGATTTCCTTTCAAACAGCTCTTTCTGCAGAGTTTTGTACTTTATTCTCAGTTACCTTAGGTACAGATCTACAAGTTTAATGCAGATTATCTGAAGTTCATGGTTCAGAAGATAAAGTAAGTGATCAGTTTCATCTTCCTGAGCCATGATTCTGACTAATGAATGTCAGAGTCCAAGCTAAAAACAACACAGATCTCATAAACTCAAAGTCTGTCCTTCATTTAAAGTGCCTTTGCTCAACACATTTTAACACATGATGGGTTGTTGTCACAAACAACTACACTCAGTATTTAATCCACTGTTACTCTTGGATCAAGAATGGTTAACCCCCCCCCCCGAACAAGCAAAATTAAACTCCTGTCAGATGAAGCATGGATTACTAGTGCAGCATGGGTAATTTTAATAATGTACAAGAATCGGGAATACAGAAAACCATATATACTTAATGATCCATTGTACGGGTACAAAGTGAGGTACATTTGAGTGCTCCTGACTTGGGTAGAAATATGAAGCATGTACTTTAAGCAGAAGCATTAATGTACTTTAACAAAAGTGCTGGATCATATTCCATCTACCAATTCTATTCATACAAACTGTCTTCAGGGCCGCAGAACTATGCTATGCGAAACATGCATACAGGAGCAAAACTGTTTCCCAAATATTGGGCTACATGAAATGAGAGAACATATAGGTGTGAGGCTGCACCATTAATACAGGAAAGTTAATTTCAAAACAGACGGTACAGTGAATCTGTCATTAGAAGCAGAGCTCCATTATGATGCTAAATTCATGTGCTTATTCTAGCATTGAAGGCGTTCGTCTTCACAAGTTCTGTTGTTGTTTGATGGTTGGCAATTGGCAGATGACCAGAGGTTTCATTCACAAGTTGGTTATGCAGACACAGGGGGTTTGGATAAAAGTGTCTTCAGAGGAAAAGCATTCTGTCACTTTCTGATTCTAAAGCTGGGATCTCGTCTATTTCAGCCCTCAGTGCCTTGTCTTCTGTCATTTTCACAAATTCCATGCTTACCATTTTTTCCTGTTGTTCTGACTTTACTGCTTCTTCAACTGGTGTGACAAGTCTGCTAAGCAAGATGCTGCCAAAATGAAAGGGGAGAAAGAAAAGGCCAAAAAAAAAAAAGTGGCACAATATTTTCCCTTTTCTTCTTGCGGTATAACTTTGCTAACATGTTGCGACACAGCCAATTTTTTGAACACTGTTATAGGATAAATAAGAGTCTTCTTTGATTTGTTTCTGTGATAAATAATGGTTCTCTTTGTTTTCCTTTATCATTAGGAGAACTTAGCAAGACTTCAGAGAGCTTTTGCAAGGAAGTGGGAATTCATTTTTATGCAAGCTGAAGCACAAGTAAAGTAGGTGTTTTCAGTTCCACAAATCAAAGGCATGATCTGTGTTAATAGGAACAATCCCATCTTGAAGCTTGCACCCTAGGAGTCTTTCCCTGTAATGCAGAGGCTGCATTCCATTTAGGCAAAAAGACTTACCATTGTGCCATAGGTATTGCCTTATTCTTGAAGAGAATCTCTCTGGTATTGACACCAGCCACCGGGAATATGCAGTTCTAGCATTAAACTTCAAAATGTAAATCATTATGTGGTAAACTGGCTTGAAATGAGCTCCCCCCCAAAAAAAATATGCCATGGGACATATTTTTCATGGGTGGGGCAAGCAGGGATGCTTCAATTAACAGTAGCCCTAGTTTGTTATTATGAATCATTACTATTGAGCCATCATCTATTTTGTTAAGTGGTTTCATTTGTTCTACATGTTAACAACACCTTTATTTATTTGGATAAATATTATGTCCATTGTCTGCTCTAATAGAAACACTTGCCACAGCTTACATCCTTCATTTTAGAAAAACATACACTGCAAAATGACAGCATGATAATAAGGTTGATCAAGAATGGAATTAAAAGGAGGAGCAGAAGGAGGAAGATGGCAAGTTAGAAACAAAGTCTTACACAAATTCAGTAATGATTTTCTTTTGAGATACAGTATTCATTTGGTATCCATATTTCGAGAATGATAATTTGGCATTTGTATTGTATTAACAGCCTTGGCTATTTTGACCCCACTTTTTGATAGCTCTATATTCTGAGCTGGGATTTAGAAATCTGTCAGTACCCACATAGACACAGAGGAACATGCGAAATAATGCAATTTATTAAACATAAATGCTTATTTCTTGTTAGAAGGAAGACTGTTTTCTTCCTTTTACATTTCATATTATATTCATGTACCAAAATAAAAACAGTTTCCTCTCTCAAAAAAATCTTTTTAATAAAAAAAAAAAGTGCTCTTAACACCCAGCCTTTCCAGTTACAGTTTAGCCCTGCCAATTAATCCACTGAGGCTTTAGCTGCTTAACCTACTTATTAAACCTTGCAGTCCCACTGTAATGACAAGTGCTGTGGCACGTCAGAGACTAATCAAAATTAAATGATCTGCTCTTGTCACTTTCCACTGCAAATTATCGTGCTAATGTGGGAAAGCTTTTACATTTTCATTTTGATTTTTTTTTTGCTTCCACAATAGTGTTCAATTTTATGATCTTCATACATATTTAAGCAGAGAACCTAGAGGGGGAGTTGTTGTTTCTTTGCTTCCTAACTATATTTACTGGATGGACTCTCTGCTATGACAGGTTTTCTACTCCCATCCACTGGGCATTCCCAAAGCCTCGGGCAACATTAAATGAGTCCCATTACTCAGTGTCAACCACAGGGATAAATATGGATGTACATTGTTAAACTCTTGCTGCTAAGTCTACCAGAGTTATGGGCCTAATATTAAGTACTAAGATTTCAACAATTGTGACCACAATATCAATTCTAACTCTATATTTCCCTTGCAGCAGTTGTCAACATTTGGAAGCATAAAACCTTCATCTGTAGCTATGCTGCATTCAATTTATATCACAGGTGTAAGTGTAGCCTTAGCAAACCCAACAAGAACATTAAGTGTTGGAAGCTTAGTCATTGTTTAACTGTCACATGCCTCCATACTATTATAACAATAGGCTGCATTGGGCCTCAGCATATTCTTGCTGGATGGCTCAGAGAGTTGAGTACCTGATTGCAAAAGTAGAGGTTGGCAGCTCAGTTTCTTGCTGTTCCCCCCACCCTTGAAAAGCCAGCCTGTGTAGCCTTGGGCAAGATTCACAGTCCCAAAGTAACCCCAGAAGAAGGAAAAGGTAAACCACTTTTGACTACTATATACCTAGGAAAGTCTAGAAGGAGTTGGCATACATCAGAAGTAGCTTGGCAGCAAGTAATTATTATTACATTATATGTTCTTGTTTGCAAATGATGGATCATCTCAAGCTACATATGGGAAAGAATCATATTAGATTCTACAGTAATATTTTCACATCACTAAAACTTGTTACAAGAATAAACACACCTTGAGATTTTAGCTGTTTGCAGAACTTGGGGAGTGTTTTTGATGCGTACAGTACACACAAAACAATGTACATATGTTAAAATGTGAAGGGCAAAAATGCATACGATGGAAATACATATGTACCAACCTGCTTTAGCCAGCTAGGAGTTGTGTAAGTTAAGTAAAATCTGCAAGTAAAGATGTACATTATGTAAGATGCATAAATAAATCCCCACCTTAGGTAAAATGTATACAAATTGTATGCATTTCTGCATGGGAAAATTAGAAATAAAAGTATTGCAACCCAGTAAGAATCAAGAACGGGAAGAAAATGCAGCTAGGTTTTAGAGAAATGTCACACGATTTTAAGCAGAGATGGACTTCTCATATCCCTAGCTTCTTGGCTGTTGAGAGCCAAGGGAACATCCTGGATAGGGTGATGGACTGGGACTCAGGACAAAATTAAAATCTCCACTCAGCTATGGAAAGTCACTGGTGTGTGGTATGGAAAAACCATCCCAAATATCTCAACCTGTTAGGGTTGCCATAGGTTGGCTGCAACGTGATAGCACTTAACAACAAAATCAAGTCATAATTTAAAGCAGGACTGGGAAACCTGCTGCTCCCTAGATATTGTTGTGTCCCAGTCTTCATCACCCTCAGTTAGCCTACCCAATGGCAAGGGATGGTGGGAGTTGTAGTTTAGCATAGGAAGGAAATATGCCAGTTCTTGATGCCATACAAAGGGTGTAAAAGGAAATAAGCATGTACGCTCAGTCTGGTATAGCAGCACAAGGATTTGTAGAAAGGCTACCCAAACTGACTGGCACAGTCTAAACATACTGAGTGCATTAGGGAGAGAGGGCTTCAGTTTTGATGTGGCAAGGTGCTCTGCGCTTGTGATCATGTTCACCAAAATTCCACACTGAAAACTAGGCTGATTCTCATATTGGTCCAGATTGAATCTACGGCATTCTAATATGTTTGTTTCAGAATCGACAGAAAAAAAGATAAAACAGAAAGGAAAATTTTGGATAGCCAAGAAAGAGCCTTCTGGGATGTCCATCGGCCAGTGGTAAGGCTCATTTATTTGTTACTGTTTTGCAGCAGGAGTGACCAAGTAGCCAGTCCAGATTGTTCCTTGGTGGACAAAGGTGTTTTGCAGAACAGATGTCATTCCAATTTGTTCCATGACTCACTGTCAATTCCACTTTAAAATCATACAAGTTGTGCCTCTGCTCTGATGGGTTGCTACTGGCCAGCTTGGATACTTCTATTTTCCTCTGTTTTCTATTATTACTTTAGAGCATGGTTCCTTTGATGATGAATGAGGTTTCTTTAAAAAGTAGTACAGTATTTTAATGTAACTTGAAAAATATTGCTTTTTTTGGAGGATAGCTCCTTGAATTGTAGTTCAAAGAAAGGAAGAAAATGCTCCTGGAGAGTAGCAGTGACACTGTTCTTGTCTGGGGGTGGGAAGGGCAGTAGTTCCAGTGGCTTTGTTTTCGCCACATGCTGAGTGGGCAAGGACTATGCTTCCCTGACCTGAGCCCTGTCAGGAGCTGCGACACTTCCCAGCGCTGGCTGGCCAGCAATGAAAGCGCTAATGCAGTTTCAAAAAGGGTGGATTGACACCATTTTAAAACTGCAGTAGGGTTTGTGTTGTGTGTAATGACAGGACTTACTGTGATTTTGGTCTAGTTTTTCCTGGTACTGTAATGTATTTTTGGCCGGAGAGGTCACACTCCTAAAGCAATGCCTAATTTGTGGGAACCTTAGCATGAGTGAATACAAATGTAGCACATTTCATTGTTCCAATTATAGCTCATGCTTCAAATAGTTTCCTGTTGCAGCTGCTGGAAGAGTTTCAGTTAGTTAACCTAAATCCAGAGTTTTGTTATCCCTCACCTATGGTGTATCTTCTACCTGCGTACCTAATGAGTAAAGAAGAAAATGACCAAGATTTCTTAGGCATCCTTCAGTCTCGAAAGACCATGGTAACACATTCTGTATGAGTGTCCTCTCCAGAGCACAAAGCCTTGGTAGAATAATATGGAGGATAGGCTGTTACCCAAGCAGCAAATCCCCCCTCTCCACATAGCTGAAATAGTCCAATGGAAAGGCAAGAACCAATACAACTGGTTCCAGCAACATCGCAGGAGTTGACAAAACGACACGAATTGCCTCTGGGACTCCAGCACTGGATTTTGCCTCGAGGTTTACTCCTGAAGCCTTTCCCATCAGTGGATATAGCCACAAGGCAGTGGAGGTTTGAAATCGGAGTTTTCCTTCTCCTAGATGGGCTGCCTTCCAAGGCTAACGAGCCCCATCTACCTGGTCCAGGTGGATCGGGTTTAGTCAGAACTCTCCACCATGACCTGTCCGTCTTGGGTGTGCCTGCATGTCATAGCTCATAGCTTCTCTGAATTACTCAAGCCCCTTCGCCACAACAAGGCAGCAATCCATGAAGGGGTGACCCTTCTAAATATTTGTCAGAAAGAGGCATAACATGAAAATGCTAAACCCCTTATATGCTTGAGAAAGTGTTTGTCTAGCTCAAAAAAGAGAGAGTTAACAATGCACTCTATTTTATTACCCCTTTAAAGATAGCCTGCATTAGAGATGACCAAACTTGCACTGTAATATTACAAAGCTACACATTCATCTGCAACTTGGTTATTATCCATGTTCTCTTCAGCAGTGTAGATACCAGGAGAATTTGGATCAGAACATTTATGAAAAGTTACATTTATGGAGATTACTCCTCCAAATCCTCCAGTGTGCGCATGCATGTATGCATTCAAAAAGCTTTGGTCTGCACCATCATACCTTGGCTTCTGCTCACACTCCTAACTTTTCCATTTGTGTGAGCCAGTGAGGATCTAAACACGGAAATAATGGAACAATGCTGCAGTGCAACAAAGAATTAAATTGGTTTAGTATTCTGGTGTTCCAAAGCAGATCATCATATTTTCCCAGCTGTGGAAGGTTCTTCTCAACCAGCTTCTCTACCTGATGAAGGGGAAGAAGGACCACATGGCTATGGCCTCTTTGCTGCTGGACAGTCTTATGTGGCATTGTTTGTGTGCTGATTGGGAAGGGGATATGTTACCACTATTAGCACACAAAGAGCAACATCCTTGGCAATGTGTAAAGTGGGGCTCAGTGACAATTAATTCAGCTCCATAATTGTTTCTTGAGACTTGAAAACAAATTATTAATCATCAAATGTTGTGATAACATAGTTTTAGTAAAGGATAGCAATTCTGGCTGCACAGGTCGGTGTTCAGAACATATATATATATTCAGAATGCAGATGCAACACAACTAGTAATTGCATACATGTATCTTTCTCAGCCAGGCTGTGTGAACACAACAGAAATGGACATCAGAAAGTGTCGGCGTATGAAAAATCCACAGAGGGTCAAAAAGGCAAGATTCCTTCAATCTCTACCCCAAAGCTGACCTCGCAACCATTTTGTAATTTAAAAGCGAAACTCTCACAGAGTTGTTGAGGTTTTCTTGAGGATTATTTTTCAGAATTAATTAATTAATGTTCATATACAGCACAGTAGTGTATAGTATTTGTTTTATATCAGATGTGAGCCAAACTCCACATTTAATTTTATTTATTTAAAAATTTTACCCCGCCTTTCTCCTTAAAAAGGACCCAAGGCAGGTTACATTATTAAAAGACGGTATTTTACACTAACAATGGTAAGTATACAAATAAAAAGGATCTAACAAATGCCATATGAAAAAACCTTAGCAACACCAAAACAACCTATCATTAAAGAGAAGCAGAGTTCCACAGACAAGATTTAGGCAAAAATTTGTGTCTGAGAAACTAAACTTGCAAGTAATTACTGTGTTTCATTAGGAAGACCGATCACAAAACAAGGAAGGCTAATTTAGAAGCTGTGTGGGGTGAGAAAAACTTACGCAGTTCCCTCTTCAAATGATGGATTATTGGTAATATATACTTTAGCCCAATGTTAAAAAATAGGCCTGTGGGGCAGATCTCAATGTAGCTAAAATTTATGTCAGGTTTGTTTATATACCTCAAGCAGTACATTAATTTCTCATTGTGCAAACACCTTTGAGCTAAATCTAATGTCTTCCTATCGTCTATAAAATATTTCAGCAGATAGTTAGAAAAAGACTAAGTAAGGATTATGCATCCAACTTATCATTCGTGGCTTTCATCAATTCCCAGTCACAGTTTCTGCCTTTAAAATATATCAGCCTTCAGATGATTAGAAATTGGCTGGTAGATTCCCAAACCATCCC